ATGCTAGATGAGCACTCTACTGCTGAGCCACCCCAGCCCTTGAACATTATTTTTATAGTTATGCAACCCTCTGTTTTCTTAAGACCTTACTTGGAGAGTGGTTGGGAAACCAACAATCTAGTCCAACTTTCTCCTTTTTAACAGAGAAAATTGAGGCTGTTTTTCCCCATTCTGGGAAGAATGCCTTTCTCTGTATGTGGCCCAGTATGTGGCTCATGGAGGTGCTGGGTGTCTGTCTCTCCCTCAGAGTCTTGTTCCTCAGGCTGGCACTGAGCCTCTTGCCCTAGTATCACTAAGTTTTCTCTGTTCCTGATGCTGTACAGTGCTCTGTGTTGCGGGTTCCTTTGTTGGGACAGGAGAGGAAGGGCCATGGGGAGAAGCCTGAAGAGGAGCCAAGAGCTTTGGCTCTTAATCAACCAGCCAAACATTCACTGAATGTTTGTTAATGTCAGTATAAGGGCACCTACAGGGGTATAAACCAGAGACTGGACCTTCAAGGGGCTTGTCGTTTTGAGGAAATGATATATAAAGAGACAAAGCAAGAGGTACTACTAGGGGTGAATGATTACAGAATCAATGGAACAGACAAGTAGTGTTAGGAGGTGGGGGTGGAGCAGTACCTAAGGACTGGCATGATCTGAGAAGCCTTTTTGGAAGAAGGTGGAACTTAAACTGGGTCCTGAGAGATACAGTGATTTTTCTGGGTCACCCATTTTCAAACAAGAGAAAAATGGACTCAAACATTTGAGGTGTGTTAGCATAGGAAGGAATTTCTAGGATGCATTCCTAAAAGCATCTTAAGTCCCAGTAACTTGGGAGGCTAAGCCAGGAGCATCACAAGTTCGAGGGCAGCCTCAGCAACTTAGTGAGACCCTGTCTCAAAAAAAAAAAAAAAAAAAAGAAAGAAAAAAAGGGCTGGGGATATAACTCAGTGCCTAAACCACCCCTAGGTTCAATCCCCAGTACCCAAAACAAAAAAAGAATAGTACTAGAAGATACCTCTTATAAAGGTCTGGATGCACACCAAGTGATGGCCTCCTAACCTTCTACCTCTTTCTGAGCCTGTCCCCAAGGTGATTCATCTGCCATATATAGAAAAGGAAACCCCAGACTCCAGGGCTCCTTGCATTATCTAACTAAAATCACACTGGCTGAGTGTTGTCATGGCAGAGAAGGTGTGATAGCTGCTCCTGCCCCGCTTCCTTGCATTCCTCTAGTGAAACTGGTGTCTGGGGCAGTCCTTTGTAGTAAAGGAGAGAGTGAGGTAGCCTAAGTGGTAAGGAGCTACATTAAACCCACAGACCTGCCTGGGCTACACCCAGTACTGCTCTCTAGTTCTTTCATTCCCAGATAGGTCACAAACTTGACAGAACTGGTTTCTACAAAATAATTCAGAATATGAAAAGGATGACTGTTCTGTTTTCCTCCTCTCCTCCAACCCAGAGGGTTTTAAATCTCCCATTCTTATGGTGAGGAGTCGGGCTGGAGAGGAGGGGAATGATGTGGTTAAGAATAGGAGGTCAGCTTTTCCTTCCGTGGTGTGGGTATCCAGCTGGACATGACCTTACTCCTGCAGCCTCTACTTGGGGGCTAGGATCTTCTGTTCTTACAAGAGTATTACCAGGACATTTAGGAATACCTGTGAGTGACATCCCTGCAGAATTGTTTAGGCTTCTGAAAATGGGCTTTATGGGCCCTTTACCATGTCTGGGAGCTATCCCTTCTCAAAGGGACCGTTTTAAAAAATTAGTCATCTTTCTTTCTTTACAAAAGCACTGTCAGCTTGTAAAAAATCTGGAAATGTAGAAAACTGTATCTATGCTTGGCATGGTGGCACACACCTGGAATCCCAGCTACTTGGGAGGCTGAAGCAGGAGGACCACAAATTTGAGGCTGGCCTGGGCAACTTAGTGAAATCCTGTCTCAAAGAAATTTGAAAAGGGTTGGAGATGTAGCTCAGTAGTAGAGCACTCCTAGATTTAACCCCTAGTACCAAAAATAACAAAACATAAACAAAGAAATAGGGAAAAGGAAAAGAAAAAGTCATCTATAATGTTATCACTATAGGACTTAGTTACTAAGGACTCCTCAGACTTGTTCTTTCCATTTTAGAACCTGTTTTGGTCCTTTGCATGTATTTTAATGTGTATGAGCTCATTTTGCATATACAGTTTTGTCCTTATTTAACTTCATGTTGGAAGCAGTTTTCTTTCATTAGGTAGTTTTTGGCTTTTTGTTTTAATATTTTTCAACATGGTCATTCAGAAAGTTAAAAGGTAGTGTTGGTTTGTGATGAAAAGAGCAACCCCTGCATTGTTGCTTTGTGTAACCACTCTGAACTCTTTCCTCACAGATTGATATTTGTATTTGTATTTCCAAATTGGCCAAATTAGCTTGGCTTCGTGACTCTAAGCATTAATCCTTACCCATCTTTTTTTTTTTTTTTTTTTTTCAGTTGAATCCAGGAGTACTTAATCAGTAAATCACATCCCCAGTCCTTTTTGTTTTTAATTTTATTTTGGGACAGGGTCTTGCCAAGTTGCTGAGGTTGGCTTGTGATCCTCCTGATTTAGCCTCTGGAGTCCCTGGGATTGTAGGTGTGCACTACCACACCCAGCTTTTTTTTTTTTTTTTTGTGGTGCTAGGATTGAATGAACCCAGGGCTTTGTGAATTTTAGCAAGAATTCTATTCCAGCCCTCTTTTTTGTTTTGAGATAGGGTCTTTGCTATTTGTCCAGGCTTGCCTTGAATTTGAATTCTCTTGCTTCAATCTTCTGAATAGCTGAGATTAGAGGTGGGTGTATGCCACCACACCCAGCTACCAAATTAAGTCTTTCACTGCCTTTTTTTTTTTAATTTTGAAACTTGGATTATCTATTGACTTTTGGGTTTGATTTTTTTTTTTTTTTTTTTTTTTTGGTACCAGGGATTGAACCCAGGGTCACTTAACCACTCAGTCACGTCCCCAGCTCTTTTTTTTATATTTTATTAGAGACAGGGTCTCGCTGAGTTGTGTAGGGCCTTACCAAATTTCTAAGGCTAGCTTTTTTTTTTTTTTTATTGGTTGTTCAAAACATTACAAAGCTCTTGACATATCATATTTCATACATTAGATTCAAGTGGGTTATGAACTCCCATTTTTACCCCAAATACAGATTGCAGAATCACATCGGTTACACATCCACATTTTTACATAATGCTGAGGCTAGCTTTGAATCCACTTCCTCCTGCCTTAACCTTCCCAGTTGCTGGGATTATAGGTGTGTGCCATCATACCTGGTTTATCTATTGACTTTCTACAGTAGAAAATATAAGTTCTCACCATTCCTGTGCTCCTATGCTGACATTGCCCCTCTTCTCAAAATGCTTATTAATTTTGGTGAAATTACTAGGATTGTGTAACTATTTTTCATAGTTACATTTATCACATGGTTTTCATAAACATAATTCTACTTATTTATTTTTTCTTGTGAGACTCTTCAAGTGTTTGCAGCAAAACTTTTTTTTTTTTTTTTTTTCCTTCTTCTGGGGATGGAACCTAGGTCCTTGTACATGCTAAGCAAGTATTCTACTGCCAAGCTACACCCTAGCCCCAAACAAAGCTCCCCACTGCCCTTTTTTAAAAAAATTTTGTAGTGCTGGGGATCAAATCCAGGGCCTTGATTGTGTTAGGCAAGAGCTCCACCACTGCGCTATCTCCCCATCCTGAAAAGCTTTTCTTAAATTTAGGATCTTTATTAAGCTTAATTTCTAGTAGTAAAACTACCAAGACATGAGAATAAATTTATTTTACCCTTTAATTGAAGAAAGTCATACATTCATTGATCTTAGATGTACTGCTCAGTGAATTTTTAGGTATGTACCACTTGCCAGATCCAATCAAGATGTAAATAAAATGTTTCCAACACTAAGAAAATTCTTCATTGATGGGGCTAGGGATGTAGCTCAGTGGTAGAACACTTCCTAGCATGTATGAGGCCCTGGGATCAATCCTAAATACCACAAAAAACAACAGCCAGGTGCAGTAGGGCTTATCTGTAATCCCAGTGGCTTGGGAAGCTAAGGCAGGAGGAGCTCGAGTTCAAAGCCAGCCTTAGCAACTTGGTGAGGCCCTATACAACTTGGTGAGACCCTGTCTCAAAATCAAAAATAAAAAGGGCTGGGGATGTGGCTCAGGGATTGAGCACCTCTGGGTTCAATTCCTAGTATAAAAACAGCAGCAACAACAACAACAAAACAGTATTCCTAATGTCTCTTCTCAGCAGTACCTTACCACCACTACCCTTACTCCTTCTCCACCGCCATCCCTACTCTGGCAAGATAACCACTTTTCTGATTTGTGTCACTATCAATCCATCAATTTATTTTGCCTGAATTAGAATGAGGTGTTTTTGTTGTTGTTGTTTTGAGAAAGGGTTTTACAATGTTGCCCAGGCTTGTCTCAAATCTCAAATTCTTGGGCTCAAGCGATCCTCCTGCTCCAGGCTCCTAAAGAGCAGGAGTACAGGTGCATGCCACCATGCTTGGCAGGAATGAACATTTTGAGGGTTTTTCCCCACTGCCTGAGTATCACTTTGGGAGACATGACTTTCTTTTGTTTTATACCATGGATTGAACTGAGGGACACTTAACCACTGAGCCACATCCCCAGCCCTTTTTTATTTTATTTTTTAAATTTGAGACAGGGTCTCACCAAGTTGTATAGGCCCTTGTAAAATTGCTGAGACTGGCTTTGAACTTATGATCCTCCTGGCTCAGTCTCTTGAGTTGCTGGGATTATAGGTGTGCACTACTGTGCCTAGTGAGACATGACCTCTTGACTGTTTCCTTCCAAGGCTACAGTCTATACCCATTCCTGTTTCTGGCCTAACTTCTTTAGAGTAAGAGACAACTGCTTACTGCCTAGGCTGTACAGGCATAAACAGAGTAGGGATGGAGGGAAGCCTAGGGTGGGAAGATCTCCTGGGGAGTGGACTTCAACAGATTACTTGTTTGACCAGGCACAGCCCCAGCCCCAGCCACAGCCTCAGCCTCAGCCCCAACCTCAACCTCAGTCTCAGCCACCATCATCCAACAAGCGTCCCAGCAACAGCACACCCCCCCCAACACAGCTCAGCAAAATCAAGTACTCAGGGGGACCCCAGATTGTCAAGAAGGAGCGACGGCAAAGCTCCTCCCGCTTCAACCTCAGCAAGAACCGGGAGCTGCAGAAGCTTCCTGCCCTGAAAGGTACTTGCAGCTAGTCAGAATGGTTATCATGCACTGGGCATTGGCAGAATGGAAGTTTTAGGGTATCTTGGGCAGAAGAGAATTCAAGAGAATGTGAGGGGGACTTTCATTGGGGTGGAGGTCCAGGGAACAGGGGAAAGCTGTGGGAAAGGGGAAAGCTCTGTAAGGCCAGCAGGTCGGGCATGAGGGATGAGGGATGGGGGAGGAGAAGCTAACTGCTGGGGCCCCTTCCACAGACTCACCAACCCAGGAGCGGGAGGAGCTGTTTATACAGAAGCTACGCCAGTGCTGCGTCCTCTTTGACTTTGTGTCAGACCCACTCAGTGACCTCAAATTTAAGGAGGTGAAGCGGGCAGGACTCAATGAGATGGTGGAGTACATCACCCACAGCCGTGATGTTGTCACTGAGGCCATCTACCCTGAGGCTGTAACCATGGTGGGCATGGGGAAAGAACACAAGGGCTAGGGGTGGAGGCCCTGGAGAAGCCTGCACGGTGCTCTAAGCTGGGCCTACCCCTCAGTTTTCAGTGAACCTCTTCCGGACACTGCCACCTTCATCGAATCCCACAGGGGCTGAATTCGATCCAGAGGAAGATGAGCCTACCTTGGAAGCTGCCTGGCCTCATCTTCAGGTACCAGGGCAAGGGAGCATGCTGTCTCTGGCTGCAGGGAACAGGGTATCTTTTATTCCTTGGGGAGTTCCTCAGTGGATGTTTCTTTTCCTCTACAGCTTGTATATGAGTTTTTCTTACGTTTCCTTGAGTCTCCTGATTTCCAGCCGAATATAGCCAAGAAGTATATTGACCAGAAGTTTGTCCTTGCTGTGAGTCCCTGAGGTTCCTGCCTTCCCCCTCTATCCATTCCATAAGCTGTAGCCCCATGCCTCCCCTCACCTCTGTCCCAGATGCTCTTTCCCATTATGACTATTATACTGGAATTTCAGCTAGGTTTAGTTTAAGGAGACCATGGGGGGTTAAAAAAGCTCAGTGCCCTTAAGAAGCTTTTAGCAAAATGGAAAAAAAAAAAGCAACACAGTACTTCTCAATGGGATATATATATATATATATATATATATATATATATATATATATATATA